GTACGGAGCGGGGAGGAGTCGGGCTTGGGCATCCGCTGTTGGAAAGGACTCAGCAACAGGAGGGCCTTTGCGGTAGGAGCAGCACACCCAAACCTCCCAAAATTAACATTAGACTTATCCTTATAAAGCTGGAATCCACCAGCAAAAGCACTATGGACTGGTAAAGAACACCCGAATTTAAAAGGTGGTGGTTGTCTTTCTACTTAGACGAATAGCTGAGGGACATCTTGCTGCCCTGTGAAGCAGCCCGGTTTTCCTGCTACTGAACACCCTACTGCGAATTAAAACAGGCAGAGGGTGCATAGGGTACTCCCAGGGCAGCAGCAGGGTTGGTGACTCAAGCTTTGCAGGAGGGGTCGGTTCACCCAGGAGACCCTTAGTGCTCCAGCTGAGGTTTGACCAGGTTGGAACCCTCACTCTGCTCTGCTGCAGCCACATGGCCAGTCATTTTGGGCAAGGTGGCAAAGCCAGCTACATCCAGGAGGCTCCTTCAACAGCAGCAGGGGACAGTGAGGGACAGCTGACAGCTTCTCTCCAAGGGGATGAGACTTTTGTCTCTGAGAGAAAGGTGACTCCCTTCAGTTTCATTTAATTTAATTAACTTACTGCATTAACAATACTGGTCTTGTGGGGCTTGGAAATAATCTTTGTGGCTCCAGTAGACAAATTGTTCTTTGTGGGGACAAGCTCCCGCCACTACACATCATGGCTCCACAAAAAGAACACTCCTACAAGTGAGGAAAAGTCTCCCCCAACACACTGGGCTCTTACACCCACTAATTCCACCTTAACCCAGTACAAGTGAGGAGCATAGGAACTAGGAACTAGAGGCTGTTTCCATGGGAACTCAATGTTTAATATGGAAAATTACAGAACATCAACATGGTTTTTGTGTAGCTGCACATCTTCCATGAGAACAGATGCAGAGACAGGCTGACGCTTGGCTCCTGCCAGGAATGGGCAGGAGCAGAACTGTGAATCCAGGAACCACCAACATGGGCTGTGGAAGCAGATGGACAATCGTGCCTGCCTTCACTTCAGGTTCTTAAAGAGTTTGTGAGCAACCTGAAAAGAAGAGGCAAAACTCTCAGTAACTCACTGTTTAGGGCTGGAAGGCAGCACACTGTTGTACTTTCAAGGAGGTGGGCTGGAGACAGCGGTATGTAGGCTGTTTTGGCAAGAACTGGTCAGGTATATCGTGGATTATTATAGAACAGGCTCCTCTAGGTGGGTTTGAAGCACCGCCAAGTCCTTAGAATTTTAAACGTTTGTGCTCGTAGTTCTCGGGCGGATGTTTTTGTAAGGGAAACATCGAGATTTAGGGCTAGGTATAGTGGGGTATCTAATCCCAGTTTGTGCCCTAGCTTTCGTGGGGTAGATCAATCACTGGTGCTAAGGGGAAAAAAAGCTTCTGGGCACCTTGGGCTTATGACAGCTTAGGTTGCAGGGTGTTACCACCTGCATCTTGGCTTTCTGAGCCCCACAGTTGTTGCTTTGCAACATGTCATTCAAGAGAACTCATAAGCTGAGATTCCTCACAAAGTTTCAGCTCAGGTTAAAAATGTTCAATTTTAAAATGGCAAACACAACACTGAAACAGCAGAGTGCCTTCTGCAGGACAGAAACAACATGTTTGTCTTATTTAATCTTTGAATAACCTCCTGAATCCCAGCAGGAACTGCTGTTAACAAGAAGGAAACAAACATCTAACAAGGAAAAGCATCAAGGCTCACAATCAAGTTCTTCTGACCACGTCTCACACCTGAGCTGCCTGCACTCCCAGAAGCGTGGCTAAAGCTTCTCCCAGCACCAGCAGGGACGTTGCACCCGTGGGTGCTGCACTTACGCAGTGGTCCCTGGCATGCAGGAAGTCAAAAAGCTCCTCTGTGCACTGCTCTTCTGTCTGGGACCTGGAGGACACCCGCGCGTCGCACTGCTCCAGCCGCTCCCGGGCCTTCACGCATTTTTCCGTCTGCTCACAGTGCTCCCGGACTGTGGTTAAAGGATCCTGCAGGGACAGGACTGCAGTGAGGACAGGGACAGCCTGAAACGCCATCTCCCCTCCCACCTACTGCTTTAAGAGGGAGCCATATATCCCCGTGGAAGCTGGAATTCAAGCTGCCCCCATGCTGAGCTGTGGACCACTCAATCACAGAATCGTTTGGGTTGGAAAGAACCTTAAAATCATTTAGCTACAAAACCCCTACCATGTGCAGCGACACCTTCCACTAGATGAGGCTGCTTCAGGCTCTGTCCAGCCTGGCATTGAACACTGTCAGGGATGGAGCATTCACCA